CCTCGGCTAGTCTGGAACGCCGTGTTGAGCGCAGTACAGATGTGGGTGTGTTTCTGGCCGCTCTCTGGGCTCTGCTGGTTTGTTTGTCTTACCCGCACTCACTGACGCCGTCCTGTAATTACCAGAGATTTATAGTATGTTTAGGATCTGCTGGGGCGAGTCCCTACTCATTATTCTTGATTAAATGTTCCCTCTTGTGCGTGTCTCTCTTGCACTAACTCTAGGATCAGCTTGCCGTAGTCCATGGAAGGAGAACCGCCTGGAGCTTTGGTTGTGGGGCGTTGACTTACAGAGGCGAGAGCACGTGTCTTTTGGAACCTTCAAGGGGGTCTGGGGACCATTCTGGGTGCCCTCACAGGCCGCCCGTGAGGCCAGAGCGCCCACCGGAGACGGCGAGTTGGGAGTGGGCACAGCTCTCTGTTGTGACTGTCTGCCCCTCCCCCTCCCACAGCACCTGCTCGTGTGCACGCCCGCACTGCGCCGTCCTGCCTGGGGCCCTCCCGTCTGGTCCCCTCTGCGCCTGGCACAGCCCTGGCCGGCAGCCCGGGCCTCGTTTGGCCTCCCGTCTCTGTCCTCTCGGCTGTTCCACGGGGCGTCTGGGCTCAGCTGCTGGAAAATGCACTTTGACTGAAAGCGCCTGGGCTTGATTTCCACTAGTGTTCACCGGCAACGCTGCGCACGCCCAAAGGGAAGTAAAGGGGAAAGCGTCGTGTGGAGAAGAACCGCCTTAAAGGGGCGCGTCCCTGCTGCGATGAGGCACAGGCTGTGTTCATGGCATCAGTGGATTTCGGGGCGCTGAGCCCACCGAGCCCACAGGCCTGTCCTGAGGCAGGTTAGTGCTAGGAGGTCAGTGTTCTGAGAGTTGAGAAGACCTCAGAGAACCAAATCCTCTGGCACCCCTTTTAGCTGGTGTGCGAAATGCCAAGAGGATGTTCAAAGTGGGCTTGTGGGCTTCTGAAGTCCCAGAGACAGGGTGGGAGATGGGTGTGGTGGGGAGCTGACCAGCTTCTTCAGGAGCACACCCCCTTACAGTGCGGCCAGCGGAGGTGCCGGACATGGCGAGCAGACGTGGTGCGACTCACGCTGCAGGCCCTACAGCTTGGAGGGGCTGCTGGGGTTTGCTTGGGGAAGGGGGTTCCTACTCGGGCACTGGCCTGGCACAGCTCTGCCCCACGACCCTCTCTGTGCCCGGCAGCAGCTTCTCCAAGTCCCTGTGGATCCACAGGTGTCTGTGAGGCAGCTCCTTAATAGGTCAGCTGTGGTCCCTCCCCCACAGTACAAGAGGGCAAGCAGTAATTTTGGGGGTCTCAGATGGACCCCTAGTGTGGGTCAGCACTGTTCTCTTGGGTCTCCTGGGAGTGCCGGCCTCCTTCAGCCCTGCTCACGTCAGCTGTCCTTGGCACCTGGCCTCCTCCATCCTCAGGCTGCCTCCTGGGGGCCCCAAGAGGCCTTGACCTGTCTCCCTGCAACCAGAGTCACTGTCCACCCACCCCTTCTTAATCAAGGAGAAACACTAAGTTTTTATAAGAACACCAAATCTTCTTAAAATGGTCACCTTGACTTGCATCGAGACAAAAGTCGATCAGTGGTTCCGGGGGCTGGGGTGGCACGTGGGGAGTCGTTCCTCAGTGGGGACTGGTTCTCTGCTGGGAATGACGTTTCTGGAAGTAGATGGAATAATGGCGTCATGACATTCCGGTTCCCTTTCCAGCTGCTGTGGCACCGGCCCCACCTCGTGTCGTCCTGGGTTGCACTGGAGGGGACCGTGCCCCGTGGGACGTCCCGGGTGTGGGAGGGGACCGTGCCCCGTGGGACGTCCCGGGTGTGGGAGGGGACCGTGCCCCGTGGGA